ACCTTGTAGTTGTTAAAACATGGAATAATGTATATGTTGAAGTTAAGTTCCTTTTTTTCATTTGCTAAGAATTGCAATATCATCATCGCGTCTTTAGACCCTTACATTTTTTACTGTACCCGTAGAGGTCTACAATTGCTCTGGGTACCCTTTGTAGTGTTCTGCAGAAACTTTTAAAACACGTAAATTAAATAGATTTATTTATTTTTAACTGAAAGACGTAATTTTTACCTTCTTTACAAGCTATTATTAAAGATTGATATACTACACAGTATTATTACATACTAATATATAGGAACAGGTGTGATAACCAGGTATACTTGGGAAAATAAACATAAAAGGGTTAAGGGTTTACTAATGAAATTCTATTTCAGGTTCCATGTTTCAGAGCCAAATGTCATTAAAGTAAATATAATTTTGGTAATGTGATAAATAGTGGAAAAAAATTATAAATATCACTTGCACAGAACAAACTCCATAACTGATTATTTTAATATGAGATCAGCCAGTTGTCTTAAAATAGTTATAATTGCATATGTTTATATTTGTATTTATATATATTACATATATTTGTGCAGTTATTACATTTGCCAACAATTCACTATTTAATTAATTAATTAATTAATTATAATGCTAAACACACACATACTTGCTGATGTCAATTTTGTTTATTTTATTAGTACAGAGCTACTAGTAAGTCCTTCCCGGCTAGCTAAGCTTTAAAAATTACTTATCCCGGCAAGCCAAGAGAGTTCATAGCACGTTCAACAGGGGGTGAGTTTCTACACAACAAGGGCTAAATTTTCATTCGCAAGTGGCACATGTAAATTTTGATCCCTGTGATTAGTACGCGCCTCCAAAAAGCTGAAGTAGATTTCATCTGCAATTGGAAAAATGAATGTTACTGTCTAAACACCATACGCACTAAGATGCCAGGTGATTGCTGGCACCATAACAAATAGAGTCTAGAGTAGGGCTGGGCAAATGGTAGACCCTCAGATGTATAACTGATACTTGCATTATGCTTGGCCATTCTAAATGCTGGCAAAGTATTTTCTACATCTAGAACTCTATTGCTTGCCCAGCCCTGATCTAGTGGCTACACCAGTGGTTCTCAAACTTTTTAGGTTCAAGACGCCCTTACTATTTCAATATTTTTCCAAGGCACCTCATGTCAAAAAAATTTCTAGGTTGTATATATGTACAGCGCTGTGGCATATACTGGGCCCCTAATCTTGGGAGTGTTACTGGTAGATTATTTAAAGAAACAATCCAGGCACAATAACCACTACATTACGTTGTAGTGGTTATGGTGCCAGTAGTGCCGTAGTGCCCTCCCAGGGTAAGTAGTCAAACTGTTTAAGAACAGTTTGACAACTTACCTGGGGTCTGCCGGGATAGGGACTGTAGTGTGTGTGTGTGTGGTGCAATATGTGTGTGTGTGAGCGGGTGCAGTGTGCGTGTGTGTGCAGGGGTGCAGTGTGTGTGCGTGTGTGTGTGCAGAGTGCAGTGTGTATAGGGGTGCATTGTGTTTGTGAAGGATGTAGTTTGTGTGTGTGTGTGTGTGTGTGAGGGGTACAGTGTGTGTGAAGAGTACAGTGTGTGTGGAGGGGCAAGTTGTGTGAAGGGTACAGTGTGTGTGTGTGTGTGGAGGGGTGCAATGTGTGTGGGGTGTAGTGTGTGTGAGGGGTACAGTGTGTGTGAGGGGTACAGTGTGTGTATATGGGGGCAGTGTGTGCATGAGGTGTACTGTGTGTGGGGGGGTAGGTTGTGTGAGGGGTAAAGTGTGTGTGGTGGGTGCAGTGTGTGTGTGAGGGGTACAGTATGTGTGGGGGGACAGGTTGTGTGAGGAGTAAAGTGTGTGTGGGGGGGGTGCAGTGTGTGTGAGGGGTACAGTATGTGTGTATGGCGGCTGTGTGTGTGTATGGGAGGGTAGTGAGTGTGTATGAGGGGTAGTGTGTGTATGGGGGTAATTGTGTGTATGGGGCAGTGTGTGTATGGGGGCTAATTGTGTGTAGAGGGGTAATTGTGTGTATGGGGGCAGTGTGTGTATGGGGGTAGTGTGTTCATAGGGGGGGTAGTGTGTTCACAGTGTGTGTGTATGGTGGAGCTATATTGTGTGGTGTGAGTTCTGTGGGGGTTGGAGGGCAAACTAATAAATACATACTTTTTTTAATTAAAAATGATGCCTGAATCACTATTTTAGAATGGTTTGACTTCTTATCTAGAGTCTGAATCTCTCACCCACTGCGTTGCACTCAGGAGAGCTAACGGTAGCTCCTAAGCATGATTTAGAGGGAAACAGCGGCTGACGGACCTCATGTAAAGAACATTTGTCTCCTTAAAATGGGTAAGGGGTAGGGCACTCCTGGAGCCAGAACCTGGTTATGGTACTTATAGTGTTCCTTTAAATCATCCTAGGACAGTAATATAGCAATTTGTTGGTGATGCATCTTGGAATGAAACAGCAGTGACAGACACACACATGCACAAACACACACAAGCACATATATACACTGTTAGAACTGTTTATAAAATTGTAATAGACGGATAAAAGCCAGCAGCTATGATACAAAAAAACACTCGCTGTCCTATTCAGTTTCTTGAACATAGTCAAGCGGCAAAGCTGATGAAAAATGATTTGAAATCCTGCTCAGCTCTAATCATTTCCTCCGGTATAAAGCCGAGATCAATTCTAAGCATTTAGTCAGTGTAAAGGATTTCGAAATCATTGGTCCTTACAGCGTGACACATTTCAGACTCCATAAAGTTATACTTATTTGCTGTCGATCTATATTCATAATTTAAAATATAAAAAAAGCCCGTGTGACAGATTTTTTTCATGTTTGGCTTGCTATAGATTTTTTGTCATCGCGTGTGTCAGAGGTCAATGTCATAGGGTCCCTATGGCAGCCATTAAATCCAAGGAAGAAACTTGCTGACTATTGATCGACAATTTCACAAAATATCTATTATCTGGATATAAAAAGTGTTTTTTCACATCTTTCTAAAACAGATAACTCATAAGGGCCAAAGGGTCATGACTTGTGATAAATTGTTGTTTCGTTAAATCGCAGCCAAAAAAAATAAAATGAAAAGGTAAACAGGAAAATTGAAAAGAACATCTCTTATTTAACTCTTGAAGCAGACAGTCAAAACATGATGGTTAAGAGAAAAAAATGTAATAAATATCGAAGACTTATAAACTGGCTTGTGAAACATAGCAATAGCGGTGGTTGGATTTTGACAAGTTAAAAGGGACCCTTCTATCATTATGGTGTCACGGTTGACATGCACTGGATTACGGTTCTGGGTACAGGACAGGACTTCATGACATGGGCTAATTCTACACTTTAACAGGTATTTTTATCTGAAGGTTGAGCTGGACTAATTTTGGCCAGCTGGGACATGCTGAGGACAGCCGGTGAGTATAAGCAAACAGAAATGTCAGATAAAATAACTTGGAAATCACAGCAACTAAAGTTAACAGGAACACAGCAAAAACTAGAGTAGAAACTGAAGAAGACAAGAACAACACTGGAACTCATAGAGCAGAATGAGGTTTATGAGGGATACCATGCATTAATTTGAAATAAAAACTTCTTCATGCTGTCTGAGCTGATATCACTACTGCAAATGAAATAGTGAAAAGAGCTACTAAGAAACTGTGACATCCTTTGCATCAGGATGGCATCACCAGGACATTTCACCATGGCCTCACCAGGAAATCCTTTGCATCAGGATGGCATCTCCAGGACATTTCACCATGGCATCACCAGGAGATTCCTTGCATCAGAATGGCATCATCAGGTCATTCCAGCTAGGCATTACCAGTGTGTGTGTATGGGGGCTAATTGTGTGTATAGGGGTAATTGTGTATGGGGGGCAGCATGTGTATGGGGGGTAGTGTGTTCATAGGGGGGGGGGCAGTGTGTGTGTATTGTGGAGCTATATTGTGTGGTGTGAGGTCTGTGGGGGTTGGAGGGCAAACTAATAAATACATACTTCTTTTTTAAATTAAAAATAAAAATGATGCCCGAATCACTAAAGGAGATCCCTTGCATCAGGATGGCATCACCAGGACATTTCACCATGGCATCACCAGGAGATTCCTTGCAACAGGATGGCATCACCAGGACATTTCACCATGGCATCACCAGGAACGCCCTGCATCAGGATGGCATCTCCAGGACATTTCACCATGGCATCACCAGGAGATCCCTTGCATCAGGATGGCATCACCAGGACATTTCACCATGGCATCACCAGGAACTCCCTTGCATCAGGATGGCATCTCCAGGACATTTCACCATGGCATCACCAGGAATGCCCTGCATCAGGATGGCATCTCCAGGACATTTCACCATGGCATCACCAGGAGACCCCTTGCATCAGGATGGCATCACCAGGACATTTCACCATGGCATCACCAGGAGATTCCTTGCAACAGGATGGCATCACCAGGACATTTCACCATGGCATCACCAGGAACGCCCTGCATCAGGATGGCATCTCCAGGACATTTTACCATGGCATCACCAGGAGATCCCTTGCATCAGGATGGCATCTCCAGGACATTTCACCATGGCATCACCAGGAGATCCCTTGCATCAGGATGGCATCACCAGGACATTTCACCATGGCATCACCAGGAACTCCCTTGCATCAGGATGGCATCTCCAGGACATTTCACCATGGCATCACCAGGAGATCCCTTACATCAGGATGGCATCACCAGGTCATTCCACCTAGGCATTACCAGGAGATCCCTTGCATCAGGATGGCACTGCTAGGACATTTCAGAGTGGCTTAACCAGGAGATCCCTTGCATCAGGATTGCATTACCAGGACATTCCACCTAGGCATTACCAGGAAATCCCTTGCATCAGGATGGCATCTCCAGGAAATTTCACCATGGTATCACCAGGAGATTCCTTGCATCAGGATGGCATCACCAGGTCATTCCACCTAGGCATTACCAGGAGATCCCTTGCATCAGGATGGCATCGCCAGGACATTTCACCATGGCATCACCAGGAAATCCCTTGCATCAGCATGACATCTCCAGGACATTTTTCCCATGGCATCACCAGGAGATCCCTTGCATCAGGATGGCATCACCAGGACATTTCACCATGTCATCACCAGGAGATCCCTTGCACCAGGATGGCATCACCAGGACATTTCAGCATGGCATCACCAGGAACACCCTTGCATCAGGATGGCATCGCAAGGACAATTCAGCATGGAATCACCAGGAACACCCTTGCATCAGGATGGCATCGCAAGGACATTTCACCATGGCATCACCAGGAGATCCCTTGTATCAGGATGGCATCACCAAGTCATTGCACCTAGGCATTACCAGGAGATCCCTTGCATCAGGATGGCATTGCCATGACAATTCACAGTGGCATCACCAGGAGATCCCTTACATCAGGGTGGCATTGCCAGGACATTTCACCATGATATCACCAGGAGATCCCTTGCATCAGGATGGCATCACCAGGACATTTTACCGTGGCATCACCAGGAGATCCCTTGCATCAGGATGGTATCTCCAGGACATTTCACCATGGCATCACCAGGTCATTCCACCTAGGCATTACCAGGAGATCCCTTGCATCAGGATTGCATTATCAGGACATTCCACCTAGGCATTACCAGGAAATCCCTTGCATCAGGATGGCATCGCCAGGACATGATGTCTGCATTCATTAGACTCACAGTGGAGGAGATCTCATGCTGGGTCAAGGGGTATGGAGTGATAGTGCTGCAGGTAGGGTAACACGTAGCTTTTGGTTGAAGAAGTTTAGTTGATCTAAATTCTCTTCTTTGGTGATTTTCAGGACTGGATGTCAACATTGGCCAAAAGCACCACCACTACAGAGGGGAGAGTTAGACAAAGAAACCGCAGGAAGCACAAGATTGTGCACCCACTGTGCCATTTTTGAATGTATTCATCTAACTGTCAAGGCCCGGGGCTCAGTAACACCGATTGGCACATTATCCTGGTTAATATAATTCCGAAGGACTCTGCATGCTCTGTTAACCCACCCATGCCACAGTTCATATGATGGGAAAAGGAGAAGGGTAAATCATAGAAAAATATGTATAGAAGAGTGACCCCTTTCTCTGAGTACTCCCTGAGTTCATTGTTTAAGGTCTAGCTATTGTATGTATATATGTTTATATTTATTTATTTTATTCGTTACTTATCAGTCAGTGCTGCCTGTAGAACCCTTTTCTCCCCTGGTCAGCCATAATTTATGATGCTGATTGGATGCACCTTGACACCTAGCTGGCGTATTTGTTCATGTCTGCTGTCAAGACACACAACTAAGTACCTCATCAGCATGAAAAGGACTACCGGGGCACGTCTGAGATGGCTTTGAGAATTGAGAAAGAATGACTTGAAGGAGCTGAATAAAATGGTTTTCCAATTATTATTTCAGTTAATTTGATCTCAAAAGTTATATTTTAGTGAAAATACGCCCAATTAGACTTGGTAGAGTTTTTCCTCTAATCTGTTATGTTTCCTTTCCAAACAGACAATGTAACCAGAGCTATGTTTGATTTAGTTGCAGAACTTTATTTCAATAAAATCCCGTAGCATATAAAACCAATAATTGTATCTATTTCTGTTGATGGTCTCGTGGTTCTCTCTGAAGGTTTGATGTAAAGAGCAGCTCTGGAGCAATGTTCTATAAGTGTATTAGGAATAATCTACTAGTTTCTAAGGTGACAGCTCCCTTTTACAACTTAGCACTGATTGTTCTTTTTAAATAACTACTGAATTACATAGGATGGAAAGGTTGGCTATTGTGCATGGGAAGGGTAAATATTAGTAAAGAAGCGCTTAGTTCGCTTGAATGGGTTAATTTCTGATGTAATTTCTAAAGATCTGTAGTTTTCTAAAGTGGAATATTTCCTCTGTCAATAAATATTAAGTTCATGCGGTTCTGCAGAACACTATATAGATGTAGTTTCATTTTTTTTAGTGATGTATAAAATTCACAAGAGTCTTGTAGAAATGTAATATTCATATTCTGGAAAGTCACATTTCATTCAATAGAACATTGCGTAAAAATATTCTTCTATTTTGTTGCATAGGTAAATCATCTAAAGGGAAAGTAACGATGTGTGTGTGTGTAAATCTGTCTGTGCATATCTGTGTTTGCACACACACACACACGCACACAAACACACACACACACACACAGGAAACTATTAGGTATACTTGTGCGAAAATAGTGGATCTCTCTCTGTGTCTGTGCAAACACTTATACTATATTAACTGATTAATTCATTTGTTTATATATATTTGTTTATTTTTAAATTCAATAAAACAATATTAGACTTTATATTATGATTTTAATGCGTGTAGAAAGGGTCTTTTTTTAAATGGGAAAGAACTTTAGAACCAGCTCAAGGTGTTCAATCTTGCGTTCTGTGCAATGGAGCAATTTTCTTGCCTTTCCACCCCAAATATTATGATGTACAGAAAAAAAAAGTGACAATTTACATTTATGATTTTATGCCAAATGTACATAAAACATGAAAATGCAAATGTTTGCAATAAAATTTACTTTAATAAAAATTGTACATGCAAGGAAGTTAAGTCCACTGTTTTGGGGTATATACCTTTTTGTGGGCCATTCTTCTTTCATCTTTTAGAATCTTTCCTCCTTTATTAGAGCTTGCTATGGCACAATTCAATGCTGTCATCCACTGGGGTTTATTTAAATGTATTTAGAGGACCCTACATGCACAGCAACCTTCTGAATCTACACTGCAGGCAGCTCTGTAAACTCTCCCAGCTGGGATGTGTAACAATTTGTAATACAGTAACAGCAGAAATATTGACAAATGCATGCCCGAACAGGGCTTAAAGCTTGGTGATTTACCAGTCAAATTCCTGTCCTTCAATTTAAGACTGAAGAAAGTGTATCCACAACATCAGTTCCATTCTGAGAGATAAACCGCAAATACAAAAATATAAAAAGGTGATACTTAAGCATATGAGCTAATTATCTAAAAAACTGTAATATCTGATCTATATATTCACAGTTGGCCCCGGGAGCTTATTAATTTGGGAGCAATATACATAACTCATAAATCACACTCAGTAGGGGATCACGGGATATGTAGTACAGTGCACTGCAGTTGCTTCATTCATGAAAAACATGAATGGAATTACCTGGATAGCTTTAGTATTTTATTTATGGGTTTTTTTCAGTAGTAGACTTGTTCTTACCAACACATGTTCACAGCTCCGGTACAGGCTTTCTTATAGGGAAGTGTATGACTTGAATAACTAGGGGGAGGCATAATGCCCTTTGTGATATCAGAAAGTGGGAGAACAGATATGCAGGAACTGGAATCCCCTTGAATCATAATGTGCATAAACATCATTTTATCATTATCATAGTATCATTAAAAAAGATAAACAGGACCTATTTACGCTGGTCCCCTCTGAATGGTGTCTAAGGGAAAACCGTCATAATTATTGCACAATGTAGTAGCACACAAAAATGTGTGAAAAAAAACAAAACAAAACAAAAGTGATTTATATTTTTTTCCATTGACATCATGTATGATGATGCCATGGCACAGTCTGGCATTCAATGCAAATTGGAAAAAAATGCAAAAATGCAAACCCCTATGTCTCACTCTCTGTCTTTGTCTGCCTGCTTCTTTGTGTGTCTCCCTTTCTCTTTCTTCCACTTTGCTTGTCTGTCTCATTCTATCTCTGTCTCTGTCTCATTCCATCCTTCTCCGTCTTAGTGTTTTATTTCACTGTCTCTCTGTCTCTCTTTGCATGTGTCAGTCTTTTTGTGTGCCACTCTCTATCCCTCTACCTGTCTTTTCCTGTCTTTCTCTTTGTCTCTGTGTCTTTGTGTCACTGTCTCTGTACCATTCTGTCTCTCTGTATCTGTATCTCTTTTTGTGTGCTTCTCTCTCTCTCAGTTTGTCTCTCTCTTTATATCATTCTCTATCTCTCTGTATATTTGTCCATCTTTCTGTGTGCCTCTCTGTCTGTCTCTGAATCTCTCTCTCTGTATCATTCTCTGTTTCTGTCTGTATTTGTGTTTTCCTTCTTTCTCTCTCTGTCTGCTTTTTTGAGTGTCTCTGGTCCTCTCTGTCTCTGTCACAGAGAGCCAGAACATGCTATTCAGTGTCAGTCCAGTAAAGACAGAACTGTTGGAATGTCCTACATAAAACAAGACAATAACAGAGCAAAGAAAAACACACAAAACAACAGTTTTTCACCCCTTTCATCTTGTTTTCTATTGCCTCTTAAGTAAATAAGATGTTGGCCTGGATAATGGAATCCTCACTAGCTCTCAGTTAGAGCCCTTTCATGGCAATTAAACACGTTTGATACAGTCTTAAATGCCTCAATGACTGCTTGTTAGCTGCATTAACTGGAGAGCATGACAGCAAATGCAGATAGAATCTAGGTATTCCATTTCGGAAGCCTAGTCGCTGTGCCCGATCTATTTATTTGTGAGAAACTTCAATTACATTGGGTTTAATATATTTCCGCTGAGCATCTCACCTACATACGAGGAAATGAAAAGGTGCACAGGAGAAAGATGTGATTTATAAATAGGGATTTATTCACTAAACATCAGGTTGTGTCAAGTTCAGACGCGATTTGTAAAATTTAGGCCAAAGTAGTTTGATATAGAAATCTTCCAGTGTGAATATCCTTTTCTAACTTTGGGATTTGGGCCTGCCTTTCGAGAGGTTTTCAACTTGCGAGAAATTGCTGTTTAGCAAATAAATTGCTTTGTATTAGCCAAACTGATAGCAAATGTATGAATCACACATCAATTCATTAATTAATCACACATTAATGGTTATTCATTAATTCGAAAATTGTCAGGAACACAAAGTGAATTTAAAATTTTAGCCCACAATTAACGAACTAGAAATAGTTAACGTTCAGAATTCTGTGAAACTTTGGTCGAACATTTGAAATTCACTTTGAATTTAGGACAGTTCACACTTTAGTGATAAGCTCTTTATTTATCAAGGTTACTTTTTGTATTGGGAGCACGCTGCATGTGCAATATTGTGTTTGATACGTACACTGCTGCTGTTGTGCGTTCAGTTAACACTCCAGTGCAATAGTGACATAAAATTGTAATTTAATTTATACTTTTGTCTGCCCTATGTCAATGTCATATTAAAAAGATTACTCCAAACACCATGACCACTTCTGCTTTTAGAAGTAGTAATGGTGGTAGCAATCTTTATATATGCAGCGTTTCAGCTTGAGACGCTGCCTTTACAAGAAATCTCAAATTTTGTGAGAAGGTATAATGACACCCCCAGCGCACATGACTCAATCAGCCCAAAACTAAGCCTAATGTTAAATCTGTGCACAAATTGCTTTTGTGCGCTGGCAATGAATGTAATTAGATACTTTACTTTCAGGCAGCTCTGTGTCTTTAAGTAGAAACCCAACCTGCTTCCAGCCAAACCCTTGTCCACCATTCCACTACCAACTGTACAGCCCTCCCTCCTTCCTCAGCGATTGTCACTCAGCTCATCTAGTCGCTTACAAACGCAAACACAGCGCACATGTGCTGTGAAGCATTCAGTGGAGCAACAATGCATTTGATTGGACCATAGACATGCAGATGAC